ACTCTATTGGACTAAGAATGGGGTACATATAATCTTGAGCATGGACACAATAGCTCCAACTGTATCCAAATTGATGACCTACAAGTAGAAATCCACGAAGCGCTACGAAAACATGAGAATGCTTCTTTCCCTAATGTGTGAATTCCAGGATAAACATTTCATAAAGTTTATGCAGTCATTTGAAACAGTCAGGAGAGGTAAGTGAAAACAAATCCATAGACAGAAAAGATGCCAAACGAAATCAGATTCAAGATGGTTTTAAACTCTGATAAACACCTACGACCAAGATAGCTGTTTTGACATATCTAACTTCATTATGCCAAACAAATTAAACCTAATATCCCTCACACATAACCTTGTTTGTGACTTTAACCACTTCTGATAGTTTTGTCTTCTTTTGTTTTCTAGTTTTTTCATAAACTTATATCTCGGATGGTCACATATCTTTGAATAGTATACCAAACAAGTCGAATATAGGCTAAATTCTTGTTTCCTACTATATATTCACTCTATTCTACTACCTGGAAGAAAAGGTGAACCAGAACAAGAAGGCAGCAGTTGCAGGGGTACCCAATCCCTGAACCGCTCTAAGCAATTCGACGTGCCAAATAGTACTTCAGAGAAAAGAAGAGTACTACTACATTTGATTTTCAGACCACGAACGTCAAACAAAGATGAGTACTACTACACCCACTATTACATTTTAGCAGCACGTGGAGCATCGTATATACTCCCTCTGTCCCAACTCATATGATGCACTTTCCTTTTTAGTTTGTTCCAAAAAGGAATGAACTCTAGATTTAAAAGATAATTTAACCTTAAGTTTCCCATTGTATCCTTAATGAGATGATTTATAGCCATACAAATATTTATAGTAACTTATGTTAGACCACAAGTTCCAAAAGTATTTCTTTTTCTCTTAAACTCCATGCCTAGTCAAACTACATTACATAAAATGGGAAAGAGGAAGTATAATTTTAATCAAAATTGTTCAGCTCTATATATACCGTGGCGGAACCAGGACTGTACGAGTACATATATGTTCGCGCGCGCGCGCACACACATATATATATAACTCACATATATATATATATATATATATATATATATATATAGTTCAAGTTCACCCGTTGCTCAAATGCTATATTCACCCTTGATATCAAACTAGAAGAAATTAATAGTAAAATTAAATCAATGCAATGAACAATTCACCGGCTCAAACTTTTCCTGCAAATTGTGCTTTATCATTTCAAGACGAGTAACCAACAGATCCTTGTAATTTAAAACAAAATTTATTTAAACAGAGCAACAGGAAGCTAAAATGGAATCAATCCTTCACTATAAATTAAAGTACGAATTCGTTGAATGAAAATCATATCAGTAACACTCAATCGGTGATAACTTGATCACAAATTGAACACGAAATTGATCAAATTGAATGCAAATTCAGTAGAACACGAATTTTTAATTTTTTTTTTGGTTCAAGAAAAAAAACTGAAAAGCAAAGCGAAAAAGATGAAAAGAATACTCACACGATGTAAACTTTGGTAGCCATTTTTCGGATTTGGTTAGATTTAAGCCTTCGCTTCTCGAAAGAAAAATGGGGTAACTGTCTTTCTCTTTATAGTAGTTGGGAAGAACAGTAAGAGGATTTGGACTACAGCTAATTGCAGTGTAATTACTTTATTGCACCCCACTATTATCCTAAGAATGAAAGATTACTATTTTTAATCATATTTATAAAATTAAAAAAACATTTTTGGATTTTTGATTTCCTAATAAAAAATATGACTTGGAAGAATTTGTGTTTGTTTTTAGAGTTTATGTCATGTGCGTGTAAAACTTTTTTACACAATCAGATTAAGTTTATCTGCAATAATAAATTTTACATATAAGCTCGTATATGATAAGTAAAATAATTAGAGTAAAAACTTGCAATAACCGGCTAAATTTCATTGAGAGTGTTAAAAAAACTCACATATCATTATATATAATTTAACACAATTTAAATTAGGTGAATCGGTGAATTTCGAATATAAAATACCTAAACTCAAAAATCATCTATATACATAAACGTTTTCTTTTAGTAAAAAGCTAAGTTTCTTGTTCTTCATATTTTTGAAATTATTCATTTTTTTTAGGATGGAGAAAAAAAAATTTTTTTTTTGTGCCCTATGAGGGAATATCAAGGTGGTGGGAGATTGAATTGACGTGGGAATTTAGGAATAATTAGTAGTAATAATTTACACAATGTTTAGTGGACAATGCTTGACACGTTCATCATCATTCTTAATGATTATTCACGTCTCTATTTCTCCTGTTTTCTTTTCATGTTTTCTTACTTATATTAGTCCCTAACATGAGGGACAAAGTTATCTGATATTTATATTATGGGAGACAATAAATATTTTGTAGAATTAATTAAGGTACGCAAAAACACTACGATTATTAAAAAAAAATTATTAGATGGACGGTGGCAAAGAAATCAAAACAAACTCTTCATTTAAGTATATGGAAGAGATAATAGTAACTGAACACTTCTATCCAAATATATATATATACTTTAATATCTAAATGTACTTTTCATCACTTGTTACTTATCAACAATTTTTAATCAGCTAATCTGGCCACCAAGAATTGTGGTGGGATGATCAGGATTCCTCGACTTTTAATCAGAGGTTTCAAATTTGAGCCTTGAAAATATAAAAAAATCCTGATAAGCAGGGTTTTCCTTTTTAATATGCTCTACGTGATGCGAATTCGGATTAATCAAAATACCAAAACAGATATCAAATACCGAGTAAGAAACTAAAGAAAAGTTAATTGCTCTTGGTCTAAAGGAAATTCAATGAGAAGGCATGAGTGGATAAGTTTGACTAGCTCTACCTGTCTAAAAAGATCAAAGAGGAACACTTAAAATAATTCACTTTTACCACCAAAGGATTTGGTTAAAATATCATGGTATAGCCAGTTTTTACACTGGTCAATGAAAAATAGCCAGCGTTTATCAAGTCAATGAAAAATAGCCACTATTTTGCTGCAACAGGGACCGGTCCAGTATAATATACGGGTTCTGGTGCATTTGTGTACGAACTCCAGCATATTATGCTGGACCGGCATACTTTGCTAACTCCTGTAAAATTTGCGGGAGACTGGAGCACCAATGCTCCAAACTCCAGTATATTATACTGGACAATTATACTTGCTGGAACTCCGTAAAATTTGCGGGCGTATTTTTCCGGATTTTGAACAGTGTTTTCGCTCAGATTTAAAGTGGCTAAATTTCGATGACTTTTGAAACTTGGCTATTTTTCAACGACCGGTGGTAAATCTGGCTATTTTTGAATTTCTCCCAAGGATGTGGTGCAGTGGATGCTACTGCTCTTCCCTTAATCAGAGGTCTCGGGTTCGAGCCCTGGATATGAAAAATCGAATGGGGCCCTACGCAACGCGAATTCCTATAATCGGGCTCCAATGCGTGCATCGGACATCGGGGGTGGAAACAAAAAAATAATTCACTTTTGCCCATTCTAAGGTATAGGTATGGACATTTGACATTGCCCCATGACTACTTGCCTTGCACTTTCAGCCTTACCAAACTTCTCAATTATCATCACTCATTAAAGTTTTTCCCTTTCTTTTCTTGATTGGACTTTTTTAACGTGTAAAATACTTCTGATATTATAAAATAATAGTAATACTCTTTGCTTTAAATTATGATTGATAGGAGGGTCTAAATGTATTATATCTTCCTTTGTTTCACATTATCAAGTTTCATTTACCTTTAATATAAAGATAATCTACATCAGATTTTACATCTATAACTGGAAGTCCTCATAATATCATCATCCAAATAATTATGGGAGGAAATTTATTAAAACCATTGAATTCGAAATATGGTTCGATAAGGGCGCGTCTGCTTATCGGGAAAAAACACCAATTGTAAAAGCACTCTGCTAGGCTGGCATTGAGAGACGACAGCCAGGGGAGCGAATAAAATTAGATACCCCAATAGTCCTAACCATAAATGGTAGATAATACCGCCGTGCGTATCGACCCATGGCTTAGGAATTATCTTGTCTAATTTTATATATTGGTCGTTTTGAACTAAAAGCAAACTTTGGAGTGTAATATTCATATTTTGTGAAAATATCTTCGGTCTCAATAGCCACATACACAACATCATCATCTTGGAAGGATATTCCCCTTTCTTGAAACTATAACAATAAAGATTAGTTACCAGAAATTACTCGGAAACAACCTCTCTACCTTCAAGGTAGGGGTAAGGTCTGCGTATACGTTAACCTCCCCAAACCCTACTTGTAAGATTATACCGAGTTTGTTATTGTTACCCGAAAATGACTACTAGGTCTTAGCAGCAGAAAGTTCAAACTCTGATTCAGAGGATTCATGTCAAATATTCTTGCTACTTACCATTTCTTCTCTTTTCAGTTCACTTATTCTTATAATAATAGAATTGGAGAATGCATAATGAAAACCAATAATACAGAAACTACGTCTTAATCCCAAGTAAGCTGACATCGGCCATATGAATCATCAATGTCCATGTCGTTCTATTTAAGCAAATCGGAATCCAATGAAAGCCAAGAATAATAATATATAGTAAATAAATGATGTATTAAGAATTGGAATACACCTCGGATTTTTTCAGATAACAATAGTCAGCTTAACCAGGGGCGGAGCCAGCACTTCGGCTACAGGTTCGACCGAACCCAGTAGCTTTGGTCCAAACCTTATATTTAGCTTAAGAAATTATTAAATATGCACAAATTATTAATTTAGAACCCAGTAACTTAAAAAAACTAAAATTCTAAATTCATAAGCTTCAAATCCTAACTTCGCCTCTGAGCTTAACGAGCATCAAAATCAGGTTATATTATGTTCTTGAGAATTCTTTGTTCCTTTAGACAACACAAAATAAATGTCCTATAAGGTAGGAAGAAAGTCAAATGCAACAAATATATTGGAAAGAAAAGAAAGAAGATCTATCCACAGACACCAGAGCTCCGAAACTTTAAACAGAGAACCAACAACAACTACGTCTCAGTCCCAAAACAAGTTGTTGTCGGCTATATAAATCCTCACATTCTATTTAAGCTCAACTCATGTCATCATCGTACAAAACTTAAAAAGAGATCGAAAAGCCAAATTCAATAGTTTCAACTTTCAACTAGGGAACCCCTAACAATTTCTCAGTCCAATGTCTTACACATATAGACTCCCAACCCTTCTGCTGCAGAGAAAAATGGAGAGCGAAAACTGAGAGATAACAAGAACACCGCATGTAAGCAAGCCTCCAACCAGAAGTTCAAGCTCTCGTGCTGCAACCCCACCGAACCCCCTCTCCCCACCCCACCCAAACCCGTTCTTTCAGCACATTGTGCTTGGTATATAATTCACCTTGCGCCTCAACCATTGACAGCATACACTCTCCAACCCGTCATCTGAAATAAGCATGAGAGCCATCAGTCCAACATGCACCACCTAACATTGGCGCGCATCTCCATCTCTACTTCAAGGTTTAATTTAGGTATAAAATTCTTTTCGTTCTGAAATCAGGATACTTTTCCACCTTCTAGGACAATGAACATTGAAGATGAAAGACAGAAAAGTGACAACTAGCATAACAAAAGATGACAAACGAAAACATTTGCGAGAACCAACACCAACACCATGTTATATGTACATCTCCCATTCTTCTTCTTATTCCTTCATTCCATATTTCTATTCCACCAAACAAATAAGCTTTTCCTCTGCTTCGTAAACGTAAAGGCAGAACTCTCAAATTTGGAAGTTTACCTTGTAAACAGGTCCAGATCCTCCTTCACCAAGCTTGTTGTTTACTGCAAAATTATCAGTAGCATGAGTTACAGTAGCTGTACTGAAAATGCTTAGCTTCGAGATAGGAAAAGGAAATAATTACTACATGAATGTTAAACGAAAGATCCTTAAATGATAACCAAAAAGAATACATAAAATAAACTTGTCATCCGACATCTCTCTTAAACAGACAATGGAATATAAGTAATTATATTTGAAGGAGGTCAAGCATCACCAGCACTTTGTATTCCACGCTAAAATAAGATAAGAAATTGCATGTTTTCAAATTGGGGGGGGGGGGGGGGGGTAGGGGGAACGAAC